AAGAAAGAAAGAAAGAAAGAAAGAAAGAAAGAAAGAAAGAAAGAAAGGCAGCAAAGGGAAGAGATGATGGGAGACATTGTCAGAGGACTAAGCACAAGCACTCAGTTGGCTTCTCCTGGGAAATCTGGCCAGACATCACCGTTCTCTTGTGCTTGGTGATACACAGAATTTAAGTTCAGATTCCCTACTCAGGGAGTCCACTAAGTACAAGGTTTTCAGTGGGAGTCTGGTCATGCAGTTGTGACAGACCTTAGCATTCAATATTTCCAGAGATCAAGATGATACTTAATTATTATAAATAATAGCAATGCTACAGGCTGTGCAGCAGGAAAGCTGAGATAACCCCTCCCCACACAAAGAGCTTTCTTAGGAGAGCAGCAGTCATCACAGATGGCAGCTTAGGTTCCTGAATGGAAACGTCCTTACATTCCTTAAGACGGAGGGACTTCTTTGCTCTTACAGGCTAGGGCAGAGGGTAAGTTGCACAGCATGTGACCTAGCCTACAAGCCCAGAGTCAAGACAGGCAGACAGTGGGTAAAAGTGAAATTCTAATTCAGGCCAGGGGGAGGGCTCAGCAAATTGAGATGTCTGTCAGATTCATGATCTGAGTTCGCTATCTGGAACCCACATGGTGGAAGGAGAGAACTGACTTCTGACAGTTGTCCTCTGACCCTCACAAGCAAGGACGCATGCAGCATGCACATAAGTGAGCAGATGAATAAGCAAATGCAATGACAAAGTAACATTTTAATTCAGAGTTGGCCTGGGTATCACAGAGGGCTGGGTTTCCAGCTGCAGAGGGCCGGAGAATGTGAGGCCACAGCTGGTCGTTTATGCTTTGCTTTCTGTTACTGTGAGAAAACGCTGACCAAAAACAACTTGGGGGAAAAGAATTTATTTAAGTTTACAGTTTATAGTCAACTATCAGGGGAAGCTGAGAAAGAAACCTGGAGGCAGGAACTGGAGCAGAGCCACAGAGGAGTGCTGCTTACTGGCTTGCTCTCCATGGCTTGCTTAGTTCCTTATATAATCCATGCCCACCTGCCCAGGGATGGCACCTTGTCCAAAGTGTGTTAGACCCTTCCATGTGAATCATAAATCAAGAAAAGACACCCCCCC